TATACTGAGAATGTAACAAATCAGAGATAAGTGTTATATACTGAGGTGAGGCAAGTAAATACGGAAATAGTCTGTAAAACAAACAGAGATACAGTGTTATATACTGAGGTGAGGCAAATAGTGTGGTCAGAATAGTATATAGAGCACAATAGTTGAAAATCCAGAATCAGTGTTATATACTGAGGTGAGGCAACAATAGTCTGTAAATAAACCAGAGACAGTGTTATATACTGAGGTGAGGAAACAATAGTCTGTAAAACCAGAGATATGTTATAATGCAATAGTACAGTGTTTATATGAAAGCAACAATAGTCTGTAACAACCAGAGATATATATATGAGAAAAAATAGTCAACAACCAGAGATACAGTGTTATATACTGAGGTGAGGCAACAATAGTGTGTAACAACCAGAGACAGTGTTATATACTGAGGGAGGCAAACAATAGTAATAAACCAGAGATACAGTGTTATATACTGAGGTGAGGCAACAATAGTCGTAACAAAACTAGAGATACAGTGTTATATACTGAGGTGAGGAACAATAGTCTGATGCTAACAGAAAGAGTATACTGAGGTGAGATGTTGTATAATGAAGTATAGTACATATAAGTATACTGAGGTGAAGCAACAAAAATGAGATATATATATACTGAGGTGAAGCAATAGTCAACAACCAGAGATACAGTGTTATATACTGAGGTGAGGCAACAATAGTCTGTAACAAACAGAGACAGTGTTATATACTGAGGTGAGGCAAAATACAACAGTGTGTAACAAAAAGAGATACAGTGTTATATACTGAGGTGGGCAACAATAGTCTGTAAAAATAGAGAACAGTGTTATATACCAGAGTGAGGTGAGACAAATAGTCTGTAACAACCAGATACAGGATGAGGAAAACATTGTAACAACCAGAGATACAGTGTTATATACTGAGGTGAGGCAAAATAGTTGTAAACACAAGCAGAGTATACAGTGTATATAGTGAGGAAATAAATGTATATATAATGAGAGCTGTAATGTTAGATATAAACTGAGGTGAGGCAACAATAGTGTGTAACAAATAGATAAGTTATATACTGAGGTGAGAACAATAGTCTGTAACAACCAGAGATACAGTAGTATATACTGAGAGAAATAAATAAATCAGAGGTAAGTTATATACTGAGGTGAGGAACAACAATATGAAAATCTCAGAGATACAGTGTTATATACTGAGGTGAGGCAACAATAGGTATGTAAAACAACAGAGATACATGTTATATACTGAAACTGAGACAAAAGGAGAGGGTAAATAAAGAATAGTTATATATATATAATATAAAACAGATATATATATGGTGAGGTGTGTGTAAAAACCAGAGATAAGGTATATACTGAGGTGAGGCAAACAAGTCTGAAAAGAGAGATACAGTGTTATATATAATGTGAGGAAACAATAGTGTGTAACAAACTAGAGATACAGTGTTATATACTGAGGTGAGGCAACAATAGTCTATAACAACCAGAGATACAGTGTTATATACTGAGGTGAGGCAACAATAGTGTGTAACAACCAGAGATACAGTGTTATATACTGAGGTGAAGCAACAATAGTCTGTAACAACCAGAGATACAGTGTTATATACTGAGGTGAGGCAACAATAGTGTGTAACAATCAGAGATACAGTGTTATATACTGAGGTGAGGCAACAATAGTGTGTAACAACCAGAGATACAGTGTTATATACTGAGGTGAGGCAACAATAGTCTGTAACAACCAGAGATACAGTGTTATATACTGAGGTGAAGCAACAATAGTCTGTAACAACCAGAGATACAGTGTTATATACTGAGGTGACGCAACAATAGTCTGTAACAACCAGAGATACAGTGTTATATACTGAGGTGAGGCAACAATAGTCTGTAACAACCAGAGATACAGTGTTATATACTGAGGTGAAGCAACAATAGTCTGTAACAACCAGAGATACAGTGTTATATACTGAGGTGTGAGGCAAATAATAATTGTAAATAACTAGAGATAATAGTGTTATATACTGAGGTGAGGCAAATAAGCCAGTTCGTAACAAATTCAGAGATACAGTGTTATATACTGGAGGTGAGGCAACACAGTTCAACAACCAGAGATACAGTGTTATATACTGAGGTGAAGCAAACAATAGTTCAGCCAAACCAGAGACAAGGTGTTATATATACTGAGGCGAGGCAAATACAGTCTAACAACCAGAGATACAGTGTTATATACTGAGGTGAAGCAACAATAGTCTGTAACAAATTCAGAGACAGTGTTATATACTGAGGTGAGGCAACAATAGTCTGTACAACCAGAGATACAGTAAGCTATATACTGAGGTGAGGCAACAATAGTCTGTAACAACCAGAGATACAGTGTTATATACTGAGGTGAGGCAACAATAGTCTATAACAACCAGAGATACAGTGTTATATACTGAGGTGAGGCAACAATAGTGTGTAACAACCAGAGATACAGTGTTATATACTGAGGTGAAGCAACAATAGTGTGTAACAACCAGAGATACAGCGTTATATGCTGAGGTGACGCAACAATAGTCTGTAACAACCAGAGATACAGTGTTATATACTGAGGTGAGGCAACAATAGTCTGTAACAACCAGAGATACAGTGTTATATACTGAGGTGAGGCAACAATAGTCTGTAACAACCAGAGATACAGTGTTATATACTGAGGTGAGGCAACAATAGTCTGTAACAACCAGAGATACAGTGTTATATACTGAGGTGAGGCAACAATAGTGTGTAACAACCAGAGATACAGTGTTATATACTGAGGTGAGGCAACAATAGTGTGTAACAACCAGAGATACAGTGTTATATACTGAGGTGAGGCAACAATAGTCTGTAACAACCAGAGATACAGTGTTATATACTGAGGTGAGGCAACAATAGTGTGTAACAACCAGAGATACAGTGTTATATACTAAGGTGAGGCAACAATAGTGTGTAACAACCAGAGATACAGTGTTATATACTGAGGTGAGGCAACAATAGTCTGTAACAACCAGATACAGTGTTATATACTGAGGTGAGGCAACAATAGTCTGTAACAACCAGATACAGTGTTATATACTGAGGTGATGCAACAATAGTGTGTAACAACCAGATACAGTGTTATATACTGAGGTGAAGCAACAATAGTCTATAACAACCAGATACAGTGTTATATACTGAGGTGAGGCAACAATAGTCTATAACAACCAGAGATACAGTGTTATATACTGAGGTGAAGCAACAATAGTCTGTAACAACCAGAGATACAGTGTTATATACTGAGGGTGAAGGCAGCAATGATTGTGTAACAGCCAGAGATACAGTGTTATATACTGAGTGAGGCAACAATAATTGTGTAACAACCCAGAGATACAGTGTTATATACTGAGGTGAGGCAACAATAGTCTATAACAACCAGAGATACAGTGTTATATACTGAGGTGAGGCAACAATAGTCTGTAACAACCAGAGATACAGTGTTATATACTGAGGTGAAGCAACAATAGTGTGTAACAACCAGAGATACAGTGTTATATACTGAGGTGAGGCAACAATAGTGTGTAACAACCAGAGATACAGTGTTATATACTGAGGTGAAGTAACAATAGTCTATAACAACCAGAGATACAGTGTTATATACTGAGGTGAAGCAACAATAGTGTGTAACAACCAAAGATACAGTGTTATATACTGAGGTGAGGCAACAATAGTCTGTAACAACCAGAGATACAGTGTTATATACTGAGGTGAAGCAACAATAGTCTGTAACAACCAGAGATACAGTGTTATATACTGAGGTGAGGCAACAATAGTCTGTAACAACCAGAGATACAGTGTTATATACTGAGGTGAGGCAACAATAGTGTGTAACAACCAGAGATACAGTGTTATATACTGAGGTGAGGCAACAATAGTCTGTAACAACCAGAGATACAGTGTTATATACTGAGGTGAAGCAACAATAGTCTGTAACAACCAGAGATACAGTGTTATATACTGAGGTGAGGCAACAATAGTGTGTAACAACCAGAGATACAGTGTTATATACTGAGGTGACGCAACAATAGTCTGTAACAACCAGAGATACAGTGTTATATACTGAGGTGAAGCAACAATAGTCTATAACAACCAGAGATACAGTGTTATATACTGAGGTGAGGCAACAATAGTCTATAACAACCAGAGATACAGTGTTATATACTGAGGTGAGGCAACAATAGTCTATAACAACCAGAGATACAGTGTTATATACTGAGGTGAGGCAACAATAGTCTGTAACAACCAGAGATACAGTGTTATATACTGAGGTGAAGCAACAATAGTGTGTAACAACCAGAGATACAGTGTTATATACTGAGGTGAGGCAACAATAGTGTGTAACAACCAGAGATACAGTGTTATATACAACTCTTGATTCACAAACCAACAACAAATCATTTGACCAGTTATCAGGGTACACCTACACTGTACTGGTTATATCACACATAATGAGTGCCTGTATCTCATAATAATTTGGCACAAATTAAATACAAAATATTATACCATCAGGTCAAGTAAGGTTAGGTTAGTTTAGATCAGTGTGTGTGTGTGTGTGTGTGTGTGTGTGTGTGTGTGTGTGTGTGTGTGTGTGTAATAATAATAATAATAAACGGTTTATTAATAGAGTTGCAGCCAGTTGCTGAAAATATACACTTATATTTGATTTAGACAGTGTGGGTGGGTGGGTGTGTGTGTGTGTGTGTTCATAAATGATTTAATCAAGAGCGAGACACAACATTCAGCAGAATGAGTCATAGATCACCCCACCATAGAACATGAGGTCAGGCGAGGTCAGGTTATTTTACAACATAAGCAAAAATAAACAACTGGAAGAACTAAACACCACATTACAACAAGGTGTAAACACACTACAAGGTGTAAACACACTACAACACACAACAAGGTGTTAACACACTACAACACACACCTCAAGGTCTTCACTCAGGGCCTGGGCAGCCTTCAGTTTGTTCTCATCCTTAGAGCCGGGGTCTGCCAGCATGGACACGTATGACCTGAATGTATTCATTTGGGCGACGGGATCCTGAGACACGTGGAGTCCTACTGAGCCTCCACCAGGACCCATGGTGTTGCTGCCTTCACAGTCTCCACTTCACCGTCATCTGCAACAAACAAATAAACAATTCCCCATAATAAAACGTAGGAGGAGGAGAAGGAGAAGGAGAAAGAGAAAGAGTAATTGTCTCAATTCAATAAATAGTTGGACTTGTTCAGGAAGTAATCACCACAGTAATAAAATTTTTAGGGCTACTTTGCTCCTTACAGGTGGCTAATACAGTGTGTTTATATACAGCCACTCCTCTACCCGGACATACGACCTAAAGCAACCATACAATTTTTTTTTCAAATTACGTATTTTCGAGTCCCGGCGTTAGTGATCGAGCTGTGTACTGACAAAATTTTTGTTTGTAATTCCCTTTAAAATGGCTTGCAAGCTTAAGTGAGAGTTCTCGTAGTGCTGAGAAGAAAAAGAGACACCCATTTTAGATTTCTAGGTATTATTTTCGCATTTTCGACTTACGACCTGGTCGTCGACCGCCATGTTCCGTCAGGCAAGACGGAACATGGCGGTCGACACGCGGTCAGTTCAAGAGTACGCACGTGAACTGTACACAGCAGTGGCACGTAAGATGGTAATTGCAGAGCCCAAACCCTTCAATGCTTCCTCTGGGTGGCTGCATAGGTTTAAGAAGAGGAACAAGATCACCAACATTAACAATGGTGGTGAAGAAGCGAGTGCTGACCATGTGGCAGCTAGAGATTTTCCTCCGTTCTTACGTGAGGTTATGGAGGAAGGACAGTACACCGATGACCAGGTGTTCAACATGGATGAATCCGGTCTGTTTGGGAAAAAGCTACCTTCCAAGACCTTCGTTGTCCAGTCTGCCAGCAAGTGTCGGGGACGGAAGTTGCAGAAGGAGCGCATCACTGTCCTGTTTACCACCAATGCCTCCGGTACCTTTAAGCTCAAGTTATCGGTGATCCACACAGCCCGCAAGCCACACACCTACAAGAACATGGACATGACCAAGCTAAATGTCCACTGGCTAACCGCACGTTAGGCGTGGATGTTCTCTGCTCTGTCCCTCTCCTGGTTTGACGACTTTCGTTCCCGACGTGAAGAAATTCTGCGAGCAACAGAATGTTCCATTCAAGATTTTGTTGCTCCTTGACAACGCACCAGGACACTCGCCCCTACTGTTGGATCGTCACCCCAACGTAAAAGTGGTCTTCCTTCCTCCCAACACTACGTCATTAATACAGCCCATGGACCAAGAATTGATCTGTAATATGAAAGCTGCATTCTCTGCAAAGAAGTTTAAGCTCCTGAACGACTATACCAACACCAAGGATGAGTTGCGTAACCTGGGTGACACCGATAGCAAGAGCGAAGAGGACGAGGAACAACAGTTGGCAGAGCAAGAAGTACTTGTGAAACACTTTTGGAAAAAATTCAACGTCAAGAAAGCTGTGGACTTCTTGGTGGAGGCATGGGATCAGCTGTCTGTAGCAACGGTTCGTCATGCATGGAGACATGTGTTGCAAGGTATTCCAGGTGGGAGGCAGAGTCAATCTGTGACTGGTGAGGTTCAGACTGTTGCAGTAGCAGTGGACCTTGCCAGAGAAGCTGCGCAGAGTGTTACAGCTGCAGGCTTCTCCGAGACCACCAATGACGACATCCTGGAGGTGATAAGGGATCCTCATGTGACTGCCGACGAGATGTTAGATGATGATGACGTCAGTGAAGAGGCAGGTGGTGCGTCATCCCAAGAAGAATGCAAGTTATCGCATAGTAATGTAAGGGGTGCCATCGAGTGTAGAGAAACTCAAGCTCCTCCTTTCCAACGACCCTGACGATAACCAGTATGAAGTCTTCACTACCCAACTGTTGCAGACTATGGAGCCATACATCAAGGTGTATCACGACAACATCAACACTAGCCGTCAACAAAGCATTACCGAGTTCTTCGCCCACAACCCACCACAGCCAGCCCAAGCCAGTGATAGTGACAGAGACAGTGATGGTGACTATGAGGGATTTGTCAGGGAGGCCCTGATAAGTGTGGATGACAGTGATGGTGACTCACCTGAGGGCCAGTAGCCTGCCCTCTGCCTCGGAGCCAGCCTCCATTCCCGTATGCCGACCCATCTCTTCTACTAACGTAAGTGTTAAACCTAACCTTGTTTTTTTTTAACCTAACCTACAGTATATTATTCTCTTATTGATTGTTCTCTTCTATATTATGTGTGTGTGCATACCATCATTAAGTTAAGAAGTTATTTTTACTAAAATGTACGTATTGTGTGGGGAAAAAGTGGATGAACAGATGAACTGTTCTCAAATACTGATATAATTGATGAATTCAATGGACCACAATTTAAAGAATTTTTAAAACTGGCTGTAAATGATTGTTTGTTTTTATTTAATAACAAAGCTTATAAACAATGTGATGGTGTTGCTATGGTTTCACCTTTAGGTCCCACGTTGGCCAACGCTTTCCTCTGTCACCACGAGAAGTTTTGGCTTACCGAATGTCCCCCCCAATTTAAGCCTTTGTTCTATCGTCGGTATGTTGATGACACTTTTTTAATTTTCAGATCACTTGATCACGTCCCTATGTTCCTAAATTATTTAAGTTAGAACCATGGCAACATCAAATTTATTTGTGAATTGGAAAAGGAAAATATTCTTCCATTCCTTGATGTTAATATCCACCGTCTTCATAAGAGTTTCGAGACAGCCTTATACAGAAAACCAACTTTCACTGGTTTGAGTTCAAAATTTTCATCTTTTATTCCTCTTAATTACAAACGTAATCTAGTACGTACTCTTACCAACAGAGCCTTTAATATATGTTCAAGCTATTTCCACTTGGATATTGAACTAAAATACATAAATGAACTACTCTTTAACAATGGTTTCCCTAAGAGATTTACAGACACTTATTTTGGCAAAACGCTTAATAGGTTTTTTAGTCCCACACAGCCTCAAATCCACAGTCCTGGCCTTCATCTCCCTCTCAAAAAGTAGCTTTAAACAAGTAAGATTCTATCCACAAATTTCTCTTAGACTAATCTTTAAAACCCAGAGTTCAATTAAGAAATTCTTTAAAATTAAAGACACCATACACACACACCTGCAATCCTCAGTTGTTTATCAATTTACGTGTGCTAGCTGTAGGGCAGCATATATAGGTAAAACTAAAAGACATTTGACAACTCGCACCCTTGAACACTTGGGCCGTTCCGTTCCAACAGGCCATTTAATAACACAACCACCACATTCAGCTATTCGTAACCACGCCCACCAACATGACCACCCGTTTTCGCCGTCTGATTTCTCAGTTCTTGGCAAGAGCGACTGTGAGACGGACCTCCTCATTATGGAGGCATTACACCGGTATAAAGAAAAGCCATCGCTTTGTGATATGGCCTCTAGTGAATTGTTATGTATTTCTCACTAAGGCTGAATTAAGGTAATACCCCCCCACCCTGTATATCTTATTTCATACTTTTTATTCCTGACTTTAGCTTTGTATGTAGATCTCTCGTCATTTTTGTCGGGTTTGAAGTGGATTGCTCTTTTTTTTATTTTTTAAACTTTATCGAAGGTAAATTTTTGTATAATATTATGTTTTTATTGTATATCACCTGCATTTTTTTAAACTTTTTCAAAACTTTAGTGTTTTTAGGCTCTGATGATGGAAAACGATTATTTCCTTAACGTTAGCGATTAAAAGAAGCCCACATGGTCAAGATGTTTGTGTTTACCCTGGTTCTCCTCTTCGTTACAAAACTACGCTTTCCACGTAACAGTGGTCCCTTGGTTAACGAGCACAATCCGTTCCAGCAGATAGCTCGTTAACCGAAAAACTCGTTAACCGAAACCATTGTTTCAATGGGTTTTTGGGTAATTGGTTCCAGCTCACCAAAAATTGCCGAAATTCAACAAAAAAGGTGGAAATGTACACTTACTTTGAGGTGTTTATGTAGAAGGCTCCTGGATGATGATGGGAATTAGAATGGGGGCGGAGGAGAAGGCATTGGGGTGGAAGAGAAGTCACCCCATGGCACCATTTCACCCATAAAATTTTAGTTCACTTGGTGCAATTCAACATTATTTTCTTTAAATCAACACTGCACTGCATTATATATTGTCAATATGTAAAATAAATTTCAAAATGACCAATAATTTGCTTGCAAACATAGAAAAAAAGCATTTAGCTGAAGAGTCTCAAGCAAGATGTTACCTCCACTGAAAAGACAGAGACTGGCGCCTGTTTGGTGTGTTGACAGGCTGGATGGCACGCATAAAACTAGTTTCCTTACCTTCAATTATGTTCAATAATTGTTAAAATGACTAAAAAATTTAATATTAAACTTTTAAAATTATTGAATAGTATAAACTTCTTGATATTTACTAAATTGGTAAGGAATATAAGCCCTAGAACTGATTACTGTATTGGCGGACTAATACTACAGCTGGTGGACCACCAAATGCAAGTGAAAACATGTTGAGGTCGGCTCGTAAGAAACTCGTTAATCGAGGGATTGCTCGTTAACCGAAGTTAAGAATCTTTTGGAAGGTAACTCGTTAACCGAAATCTTGTTAACCGAGGGATCACTGTGTGTTTTCTTCTTTCCTTGTGGTTATCAGCATATACCTAGATCACGTGCACCTACAGTGATTTACTTGCATATATATGCATATATATATATATATATATATATATATATATATATATATATATATATATATATATATATATATATATATATACAAGTAAATCACTATATGGTGATCCAGTGAAAGGCAGTCATGACATCTGACCCTGACACAACTGTTATGTGCTATTTAAAAGATTAATGAGATCATTACCTAATACCTGACCATTGTGGACCTGGTCTCACCCTCCTCTGTATACACCTTGATTTGTATCTCTCTCTAGTCTCACCCTGAAGATGTGAATTACAGCGCTTAGGAACCGTGTTTTCTTCTTTCCTTGTGGTTATCAGCATATATATATATATATATATATATATATATATATATATATATATATATGCAGTGGGTTATGCCATAACGAACGAAACTCCTACA